CCACGTACCGGCACCTGCTGGAGGGCCAGGACTCGCAGTACGTGACCCTGCCCGAACCCTGACAGCAGATCAGGGCAGTCACAGGCACTGTGTGGGGTGGGAGCTGGGGCTGCCGGGCTCACCCCGCAGAGCTGAGTCACTGCACACACAGCTTGTGGGGCACTGGCAAAGCAGGTGCCCAGGAAAATCCCTGGTGCTGCCATAACTCCAGCTAAATCTGCACATCAGTGGTGCTGGGGATTTGAAAATACAAATGCCACCAATTCGGCTACAGTGAATTACAGAAGGCACCAGGCACCATATGTACATCCCACATAACCCTCTGTTTGCACTGGAATTAGAGCCTTCAGCCTGAAACAACCTATAAAAACCTGCTCCCTGTATTTCTTTAGCTCTTGGTTTTCTACATTTGTGCAGAGGTGAAAATATCCATCCTCACACACCAGTACTCCCATCTAGAAAAGAGCTTAGTACAGACCCCAGCTTACTTCAGGAAAATCTGCTTTTTCATGCCCACTCCTCATATCTGATCTATACATGGAATTAGTCCTTATATAGTTTCTAGAAGAGGCATTCTGAGGAGAGCAGCAGTATATGGAGATATCAGGACAAGGAACTGGTCTGACAGCTGTTCACATTCCCTCTTAAGTACATAAGGGTGGCTTTCAAAGCTGAAAGCACCTTAACACCACCTCAGGTAACAACACACCTGAGAAACCAGCCATTGAGAGCAGCCCTGTGAAATCCTGGCTGTTCACACGAATTCCTAAATGGATCAATGGCTTCAGGGGACAGGGTCAGGGATGGTCATTAATGAAATATTTCTTCTTTTCTACAGGCTGTCAGGAGTGATCCCCAAGGACGGTAAGAAACATTTTTATTTAACAAGGGGCTGAAATAAACAGGTAAAATAGGATTCAACAAACTTATTGGCTTTTTGCCTTTGATTTCTTCTTACTACCACAGATTCCATTCTCCCTGCAATGACCACATTCTGTATCATGTAGAGGCAAAACCGTAACACTTTATTTTATGTTCACTTTTGAAACCACCATTTTGCCATAACTATTGCATGGGATTCTAAACCACCAAAATCTCCCAAAGATTTCTAAATTCCTCTGCTATTAGCACAACATACAAGATACTTCTAAATCCACGTGTGATGTGCACTCCTAAGTTTTTCTGGATAAGGACCAGGAGGGAAAGCAGATAAGATGTAAAGGCAGTTCTGCCTTTGATATGTGAAAGATCTTGTGAGCAAACAAACAAACACAACCGCACTGCTCAGCTCCTCAGGGTCTTGGCTGTGAGGTATTTTTTTTTCTTCCCTATTTAATTGTTTTATTCCTCCTCCAGCATCATTTGGGATCAGTGGAAGAGTTCGCGTTAGCACAGAAGATGAGGGAAGATCTGGATCTGGTTCTACCCGTGACAGGAGATTCCCATAAAGAAATACTGAATCCCCTCTTTCACGTGATTCCACGTGGAACCAGTGCAGCTTCTATACTGGCTAATGCTGAGAGAAAGAGCCTTTCACTCCCCCAGATCACAAGAATGTACCCAAGAATGTCTTTCCTTAGATTTGCTCTGCCTTTGTACACGAGCATTGACTCGCTGGGTCGGAGATGCCTGTTCTCTGTCAGTGCTCTATTGTTTCCTACGTAATAAAGTTTCTGTTCTGCTTGTGCAAATATATCCAGTCTGATGGTGTTTTTTGGAGTCAGTGTGGCACTGCCACACACAGCCCACACACCCTGCCAGCAGGGGTAACAACAGCAATAACAGTCATAACTTTAAAAATAATAATAACAGAGATGGCGATGAACAGATGTAAAGTGCCATTAAATTCGTCCAGGGATCTGGAGCTGGTATCAGTAAAAAATGGAGAAGATAACATAAAAAACCCTAAAGCTCTTTGTCCTCAATGCCAAGCACATAATTCACGCACAAATAAAATGCATCTCTGCAAAAACTGGTATTTTTCCATATGTTTGTGTTCCTGTACTGCCTCCAGCACAAAGAGAAATGCCCTCAGCTCCCAAGGAAGCTCCAGGCATGGTCCAGGTGAAATGAGCTGCTCAGAGTTTGCTGTGACTATTTTGGTTCTCTCCCATCAGGCAGAACCTCCCCAGCCCGTGTCAGTGCTGTGGCTGCTGTACTGGCCACACCACCTTCTCCCAGCTGCAAATCCACACCAGAGGAACTGGAGATGCTGACAAAGCTTTAAGAGCCTGGTGAATCCCAACCTCAGGAGTACATGAGGAGTTACCTAAATGCTGTACTGTGCTCCCATAACCTGTTTTGAAAAGGTGTCCTCAGCCCCATTGATGGGCATTTCAATCCACATAACAGTGTCTGCAAAAATGATGTAATTTCTAGAATTTTATTCTCTTTCCAACCTCCTTAGAGCCCCTGCTTTTGTGTTTCCTATTTCCTGACACTTAAAGAAAAGAGATCTAAACTGCTGGCACCACCAGCTTGGCTGTGAGTGAGGCCACAGGATCACTGGTGCCACTGGTAAGAAATGCACATCCCACTGGTATTCCCACTGGAAGGAACTGGGAAGAAGTTCTTGCAAAGCAACATCACAATGCACCAGAAAAGGAAAGCCGAGCAGCACAAATGACCTTTTCTCCTGATCCAAGGTAACTATTGTTTGTATCACTCAAACAGCAAGAGGTGGAATTCCCTACAGCCACAGGCAACTATCCATCCACTTGAATTCCGGATGGAGGAGTTGAATGAACCAGTGATGGTTGCAGGACATTCACCTGTACGACGGAGGTGCCATAATATTCTCCTGTACTTCAAGTGCAGCCTAGAAATTCAGCTCAATCTGCTTTCCCTGTTCCAATTCAGTACAACAAGCACAATTCCAGGACAGTGCATTCCCCCATTCCCCAGCTCCCAGGGAGCATCCAAGGGTGCCATCTGCTGACAAGGGTTTATTTCCTCACTCCGATCATCGCTTCCATTCTCTGCTCTGGGTTTAAGTGGTGACTGAACCCTAGACCCACAGTGCAGCCTTACAAAGAGCCGTGTCAGGTTTGGAAGTAAGTTGTTTGGTCTTTTTCATGGATCCTCAACATGGGTGAATGAAAATTGTGTGGTGTCTTTCCCAGTTTGGAAAGGCTGAGCTTCAGAGGAAGCACTTGCCATGTCCCAGACCGCCTCTGTTCTGTATTACTTGTGAGAGAAAATACAATTCTGGTTTTCACAATGTGGTAACTCCATGAAACTCGCAGGGAGTAGGACAGAGGCTCTCTGGTCTCACACACACTGCCAGCCTCGCTGCCAGGCAGCTTGGGAATATCCCATGAAACGAAAGATTCATTTTATTTTACATACTACTGTGTACATAGACGTGCATTTCCATTTCCGTGTAACAGTTCATAGACACCAGTTTGCTGGATGGAAATTCAGTCTGAAAATGATCTCTGGTGAGATGAGCTGAACAGCAGGATATCATCAGTTCTGTAAAATTTGGGGTTTTTTTTCAAGTTAGGCCCCCAGTTTTTGTCGGGTGCTTCAAGCTCACCCTGTTCTCCAACAGCAGGGCTGACCCTGAACTGAAGCTTGGACAGTGGCTGTTAGCAGAGCGTTTGGGGAGAGCCAAGCCTGGCACTCACTGGATAACCCTGTTTTCAGTGGGTAATTGCCCCAAACAGTTACAAATGGCAGCATCTCTGAGGAAGGAGAGGGAGCCTGCGCTCCATGGAAAGGGAACTGGGAAAAGGAAAGGAGCAGGTGCTGAGCAGAGCCGAGCCCGAGCCACAAGGAGGAGCCCCGCACCTGCTCCGCCAGGAGAGAGGCCGGGAGGTACCCAGGGAAGGCTGGAGTGCGGCAATTCCTGACTGCTGCAGCATTCCAGATGAAACGGAGAAAAACACACCCCTCCAGGTTTCTGCCAGGACAGTGTAACTCAGCTCCGTGCAGTCTCCCTGACCCCACCGCTCAGGCTGAGCAGCGGGGCCGAGGTAGACCCCGGGAAAGGGCTGAGCTTTCACCTGGGTAAGGAAACCAGCCTCTTCCCAAATCTTTCTCCTCTATCCCATCCCTCAGTTGCACACCAGAACTACCCTTAAAGACAAGGTAATCCTCTAACCCCAGCGGCTGCCACGGGAACACTTCCCAGTTTAGCCCCCCCTTACCAGCAGGAGGAACGGGACTCGCCCGTTCTGTGTTTGATGGAAGCAACTCCACAGAAATCACTGAGACTTTTGAGGAAGACTGTTCCTGAAGGATTGCCAGGTCTATTTCTAAGGCTGGCAGCTTTCAATAATTACTTGGAGCTTCTGAGTGTTGCTACAAACTCACACTGTAAATATTTTCTCTAGCTAAGGATACAAATATCTTAACTGTGTTAATGCTGGGAACAGCAGGAAATCCCTGCATTGCTGCTGTTGTGACAAGACCATAGAAACAGGACTGAACCTCGAATTGTGAGAAAATCAGTAAAAAATATAAAGTATCTAATTCTCATGTATTTCCCCTCGGAATGGGCAGCTGTGGGGAACAGCTGGGCATTACTGACTCCGGGCTGGAGGTTTTTTAGTTTAGAAGTTGAATCACTTCATTAAAGCCTGGTGTCTCCTACAGGCTGAAGCTGTTGGTCATTAATGATGGCTGATAGAACACGCTGTGTTTGAGGATCCACAGGTCTGAGGATCCACAGGCTGCTGTAATTCTACAGCTGAGAATTTGGACAGAAAGCATCTGCAGAGCCCCATCCCTGCCTCAGCTCCCCATTTATTCCCCTCACGAGCAGGAAAACATAACATGCTAACTACAGGGTTAGAGAGAAGTCTGAGGCAGAGCTGATCCTGTTCCACACCTACGGATTTTGGCCACACCTCAGTATTATCATATGAAAAGAAAAAGAAAAAAAAAAACCCAAACAAGCGAAAGGAAAGCAATCCGGTATGTGGCTGATTCCAAACAACAACAGTGTGCAGGCTCATAAATGCTTCAGAATTGACCAAGAGGAAGCACGTTTCGTGATGACACAATCTTGTTGCTGTAGTCATTCATCGAAGGGAAACTCCCACAGGAAAAGGCATAAAGCTGCTCAGGGAAGGCGAAGAGGCTGCTCAGTGCTAGGCAGCCAAAGCCGGGGTTCGATTCACACAGAGCTAAGCATGAGCACCAGCCAAGGCCCTTTCCAGTTTTTTTCTGGGTCCCTCAGGGGTAGTTCAGGGTGTGGTTTGGCCCAGCAAGGAACTTCTTACAGAGCGTCAAGTGCAGATGGTGGTGCCAGCAGCACACATCCCTCCTTCTCCTCCGCCAGACCCCTCTGGCTGCCTGCAGGAGGGGCACCCTGGGCAGGCTTCGGCGAGCACCATGGGGAAAGCATCTTCCTGGGGGGCAGTGAGAAACAGACCATGCAGAACCTGAATGAGCGCTTGGCTGCCTACCTGGACAAGGTGCGAGCCTTAGAAGCAGCCAACGCTCAGCTGGAGAGCTGCATCCTAGAGTGGCACAGGACAAAGTCTCATGGAAAGAGGCATGACTTCAACCAGTACGAGCAAAACGTCACTGACATGCAAAGACAGGTAAGTCAGAGCTGGGACTGTGTCATTCTGTGATCTTCTAAGGAATCTGGGCTCTCCTTTACGCTGGTGGCTTTCCTCTGAAGAAGTTAAATAAAACCTTTGAAAGGTTAGAAATCCCCAGGAAGGTGGTTCCAGGGCCTGGGCATAAACATTCTTTGTGCTCAGCAGGAGGAGACTGGGCACGAGAAAGGCTGGGAGGGGGCGAGGGGGGATTGTGCAGAGACTGGAAGAATAGAGGGATCCGTGTGCTGCCAGGTGTTCCTTTCTGCACTGAAACTGGGGCTTGAGTAACTGCGTCTGGCAGAATTCTGGCTTTTTGACGAGCAAATTACAAAGCAGGAGGAGAGCAGAGCCTGCCCCTCTCCTGCCGCTGTCTCCAGACAGACTGGGGCATTCCAGCTCTTTGATTCCTGCGGTAGCAGACAATGAAACTACAGGAGTTTTGGGACCAACGAGCTTATGTAATCAGATGGAAAAATACTTCATTGTAATTAAGAAAATAGCAGTGACAAATTCCTTGTGGATGTTTTCACTATAATTAAAAGGAGAATTTCTGGTTCCTGCCAGTAGTTAATATTAATGTTCAACAGTAACTCTTTCAATCTCCCAAACTCACGTGTCTTCAAATTTAAGCATAATATTAATCTGTATTCATAATGAACATCCTTAGCACTGTAACCAGCTGTGTGACTAATCAGTGTAATTAACTTTACATACCCATATGGGGCAAAACCCAAAGCTCTTCCAAATGCAGTGCTGTCGTTTTCCCTCCACTTTTTACAATACAATTACTTGGCATTCTCAAGACCCCGAGAAATTCTTTTCAAAAGGGTTTGGAAATGATGTTAATCCGTATCTTTGCTGATTGGGGCCAGGGACTTAATCAAACTCCGTGCTCCCTGTTAAAAGTGTTGCCTCCAGGCAGAAGATGAGGCGCTCTGACCACAGCCTGTGTACGGAGAGCCAGAACTGTCATCACCCATTTCTGTTTTAAGGATAAAGAAAGGTCACCATCCCCAGACCTGGCACTGGAGCACTTTCCTTTTTAACTGAAAGAGAAATAAAAACCTGTTCATCAAGAACGTAAATGTGTTCAGGTTGATTTGGAATTGATAGATTAGAAAGATTCAGAAGGACAAGCATAAAACCATGATGCTGACTGGGGTAAAGCCCTCACTTTTGAATAGGCTGTACCCAAACCACTGATTTTTAACTCTCACCCCTTAAACAGCTGTCCCTGGCCACAGGAACCTGGAGGCCAGTGGCTGTGCTGGATGAGGCAGGAGGGCCAGGAAAGGATCATTTACAGGTGACAATTCAGCCCAGAATTTTAACTTTCTCTGCAAATTATTGCAATTAGCACCAAGTCTGCCAGTAAAATGAGTGAAAATATAGTGTCTAATTATTAACCATAATTAAATTAATTAAACGTTAATTTAAAAGGTGAAACTAATTTAGCACCTGAAATAAAATTTAGACCAAAGTTAGGATCCTATATCCAATAACCCAGAAAGCCTATTATAAACTGCCTGTCTGAACCTTGGAGGCATTTAATCATTTGGGTCCTACATTTGGGACTGCACTCTTCCCTGGATGCCTGAATTCAGGATGAACATTTCATTGGAGTGAGAAGTTGCCTTGCTCCAGCCTGATCCACTGTAACCCAGACACACAGTGAAATGGCACCTGTTCTTCAGGTAACTGCCTCACTCTAACACCTTGTGCTGCTAAATAAGCAAAGTGATCCACAGAGCACCCCAGGAGATGGGACAAAGGACACGAGACATGTGAGGAAGAAGCCAGTGCAGGAAGCCTTCTTGGAAAATCCTCAGTTTGAGAAGGAATTGGAGTGTATTTCCTATGTAACAACATGTGAGTCCTTAATGAAGTTATCTGTGAGTCTGCAGACTGGTACTAGTGTACAGCCACATTCACGAGGGATGCAGGGAGGAATTCTGTGTGATTATGAACAGGCAGCTGGCACATGTGGGATTCCCTGCTGGCTGCAGAGCAGTGGGCAAAGCACCCACAAGTGTCACACAGCAACTCCTTACACCTGTGTGGTTATGAAATGGCACAAAGATGAAGAACTCGTGTTGCTTTCTCACCACCCTGTAGATCCCACAGTAGGATTTACCATTCTCCAAGGCTGGATTCAAGAATTGCCTCTTCTGTGACACCAAATTCCAGGCAGCCACACGTTCAGGGTGTTACAGTTCTGCTGGCCTTGATTGTGTCCCAGGGCAGGATCCGAGGTGTGCTGCTAATTGCTCAGGAACGCACAGTCTGTAACAGATTAGTTAAACATTCCACCTTCTTATTTACTACACGAGGTGAACCTTTGACACTTCAGGAGAATTTTGTCATTTCCTCATTTCTTTGTGATTCACTGAGGTGTGGGAAGTTTAACCTGAAAGTGCTGAGAGCTCTGTAAATGATTTGGGTACGGCCATGATGCCCCTTGGTGTGCTCTGTGGGTGCTGAGTGAAGGTGACTGGTGCTATTGTGGCCACACTCCTCTTTCCTCTCTGTTAGAAAAGGACTCAATGCTCTACATTTATGATTTCCTGAGAATTATGTATGGGTTCCTGCTGGAATTCTTGCAAAGATTTTGCACACAGTGCTGAGCTTTTTGCATTCAGATCTATAGTTAAAAGCCATTCCATGTTATCAGGGGCTCACAAGACCTTCCAGTGTGTGCTGAGTACGCTAAAGGAATTAGGAAGTTGTGCTTCCTCTTGCACCTTTTTGGGCAATTTTCAAATCCCAAAGTAAGATCAGAAACATGAACTAATCAGTCCGTGCTGCTGGAGTTACAGGTGAATAACTGAATGGAACACAACTCCATGCCAGTGGCATTGTCCATGTGACTCCAGGCTGAAGGCTGTGGTGGATTGAGGGCCCTGCCCGGGAGTCGCTGCCACCACCCCTGTGGTGCCTCTGCATCACAACACCGACTCAGCAAGGTGATCCTGCACGTGCTGCTTTTTAGTATATCATTAATGCCAGCACTTGATTGTACTCAGACATAGCTTAATGGTTCTTACTGAAATTTGCTCTAAAGATGCCCAAGGCAGCTTTGTCAGCGACGCTGAACAGGATCAAAATCCGGTCACAGAACCAGAGCAAGGCAGTGACTGTTACTCTGTAATAAACCATGAAGTTTGTGTAATATAAATCATATCCTCTACCTGGCCAGGAATAAGATGACAACTCTTGGTTCATACCCAAAAAAGTAAGACTAAGAGTAAAGTAAGATTATGGACAAAAATTTGCAGAACATCTAAATGAATCAGGAAACTGAGCTGCTGTTATTCCTGTGCTCTTGTTACATGGAAATTGTACTATTTAGATGCTTCCTACAAGCAGCAGGGAGGCTAAACCAGCATGGGTTATCTACTGTCACCCCATGGCCACACTGAGTCTCCTGTGGGATTCTCTGTTTTCCAGATTGAGGATGGCAAGATCACCAATGCCAGTATCCTTTTACAAATCGATAACGCTAACATGGCATCTGAAGACTTCAGGCTCAAGTAAGCTCTTCTTTGGTTTCCTGATCAAGTTTGAAAGAGGATTAAGCAAAACGTTGTTTTTTCTTGCTAATCCAACAGTGAAGTGATTTTACCGAGGTTTTCTGGTGATACTGGATGAATAAAAACAATGTAGAGCAGGGAAAAAAACCCCAAAGTATGTAAAACCCACAAATGATTGCTGAAGAACCTTGAGTCACCCTGTTTATGATACTTAGTGTAGGTCCTGAGGAGCAGGTTTGGCAGCAGACACTTGATACTTGTGACAAAAGGCACTTAAAACTGTCATCTGGGATTACAAATTATGGGATTACAAATTATCCCCTCTATGCACTGCACTTCCCAGTCCAGCCCAAATCTATTTCCTGGATTTATCACCTCTTCTGTCCATGGCAGCATCGCCCTGCCTGCGGCTCAGTGCAGACACTGCAAGAGGTTAGAGAGGAATGGGAATAACTGGCTTCCTTCAGATTTTTCCTGTCTTCTGAAGGGCTGAAAAATTACCATTTTGGAAAAACTACAGCACTCATTGATTGCTGGGACTGTTTTCAGAGAACTTATATTCTCAAAGCTTTCACAACCTGGTGAATATCAAAGTGCAAAAAGGGAAGTGAAAGAAAGAGCGATTTTACTCCTTACCATATAGGAGGAGTTTGTGAGGGAGAAGGGAAAATGAAATAGAAAAACAGTGAAACCCATCTTATTGTTAAGACTATTCAAAAATATTCCAACAGCATAGTTTAGAAACAGAATTTGTTCCCTCGGTCGTTTGTTCTCTCTGGTTGGCTACACACAGGACTTGAGCACGTCTGACTTCTCTTTGATGTTCCCTATGCAAGAGCCTGAGTTGGGCAGCTCTCAACACGCACCTTGTGTCCTCTTTCCTCATAAAGATACGAAGCGGAGAAGTGTCGCAGGCAGGGAGTGCAGCTGGATGTGGAGAACCTGCGGAAGGAGCTCGACGGCCTGACCATTATTAACACGGATCTGGAAATGGAAATCGAGGGCTTGAGAGAAGAGCACATCCTCAGGAGGAAAGACCACGAGGAGGTAGAAAAAGTTCCACTTGGTAAAATCCTATCGCTCAAATCTTTGCTAACATGTAATTAACTGAGTAAGACCCACAATCTATAAGTGGGATTGATGATTCAGGGCCTAATCCTGTTTCTGAAGCAGCCAATGAGAGTCAGATGAGGCACAAAGTCTGTGTCTGCTTTACCAATTACACCAGGGTTTCAGAGAGAACAGGCTGTTGTAGTCTCTCCCACCCATCTGTCATACACAGCTGCTAATAACTGACAGATTGGACAGAAATGCTCTCAGAAAGACTCAGATACAAATATACAAGATTTCAAGGAAATAGGAAATGTTACTGGGTGCTGTTGGGTTTAACCATCACAGCCTTTTCCCTCAGTCCTGGGTATATCCTTTCCCAGACTCACAGAAGGTTGAGGGTTAGGAGGGACCTCTTGAGGTCCCCTTGTCCACCCCCCCTTACTCAAGCAGGGTCACCTAAAGCAGGCTGACCTGAGCTAAACACACCCTAAGTTCTTGAAGGATCCAAATTAAAAAGAAAGGTTGGCGAACTCAAGCAAAATTACTCATTCTTGCAAAATCCCAAGCCCAATAATTAGATAATAATTCTCAAAAGCCACGCTGCTCTGAACTCCTCCAGAGCTACACCCAGTGCTCTCTGTTATTCCACATTTATAACCCCACTGCTCGAAACGTGCCGGTTTCGTTTTGATCTGGTGCTGTTTGCAGTTATTGCCTCACGCAGAACCCAACGCGCTGCTCGGCGCCCGTGGGTTGTTGAGGCGGGCAGGGAAGCACTGGGGTTACACAGTGGTGGGGAAGCTGCCTTTGGCTGACCCCCTGCCAGCCAGCCAGAGCTCTGGGAGGCAGGGATCCAGCAGAGCCATCCCCGTGTCCAGCTGATCCGCACTCGGTGATGTCATACCCCGAAAGGCTCCTCTACCTGGGCGCTTTGAAAATGGTACCAGGCACGGAAGGCTGTGCTACACCAGAAGGAATGTTACCCTACCTGCCCGACTGGTCCCGTAATTATGTTGTTTACACAGTAATTATATGCTTTAATCCAATTATTCCTTTAACAATTACATAGAACTTTTACATTACTCTCCTGTAAACTTAGTTATAGTTCCATAAATATTAACGTAAAGGGTAAGAAAGATTAAATTACTGTTAGATTTTCGTCAAAGGTTTTGGGTTCCTAACAGATAAATAAATAAAAAATGTCAGTGCTTCTTCGTTAAGTCTGTCTTCTAGAAATATTCTATGAAAAGATCTTCTCACACATTTTTATTGAGTTAAGCAAACATAAGTCACTGGTTTAAGTCACATCAGAGTAACATCAATATGTAAATTTTCCAAATAATGTTAACTTTATATGTATATATATATATATATAAAACACAATTCCCCCACCAAACCACACTGTGATTCTGTGGTTCTGTGAAAACTTTCCACTTCCATAAATGAGTTTGCTTGTTCCCTCTGCTAACACATGAACAGGATATGCAGGCAAATCGCTCCTCACAAGACTTCAAAGTCAACGTCAAAGTAAACGCGGCCCCTCCTGAGGACTTAGGCAAGATTCTGGCAGAAATAAGAGAAGATTATGAGGCCATAATCGAAAAGAATCGTCAGAGCCTGGACAACTGGTACAAAGAACAGGTAACACCTATTCCCTGCTCATTTCCAAGATCCCTGTGGCTGTACCTGCCTGACCAGGGTCAGTAAAGCTTTGCTGTTGCTTCTGCTCCCCAGAGCTCAGTCACGTCCCTGGCAGCAACCCCCAATCCTGAGGAGATCCAGCGCAACGAGAACGAGATCAAGGAGCTCACACGGACTTTGCAGGCCCTGGACATCGAGCTGCAGGCACAGATAAGTAAGGTATCTGCTGCAGACATCGTGGGCTGCTCTCTCCTACCCCAACTCAAAGTTGCCATGGACCAGTTCTCCATTTAAATCTACAGCCTAGAATAACTTTGTTGCAGTTGCTAAAGTAGGAGGGAAATTGGAATTCAGATCGTGCTTGACTTTGACAGAACATGCCAAATAGATTCAGCAACCATCACTAGGAAGTGAAAAATTCATTTCTCTCCTTAGAACAAAATATGGGGAGGGGAGGAGAAGGGAGAGCTGATTCCATGGTCTAGAAAGCAAACACGTCCAGAAGACAGATAATAATGCAAAGTCCGTATTTGCAACCCTTATTTAACGCATGAACTGTTAAAAATGAAAAATTGGGGAACTTTCACAAACATTGCTCAGCTCTTGCATAGGTTAAAGCTCACATCCCAGTGGCCTGGAGACTTTGGAGCAGTTGTGGACAGTCCATGCAGGACTGACAGGAGAGGCAGCAGTGCCAGGAGCAGAGCTTCGAGCAGAACGGATACAGCAGGGAGAAATGACTCAGCTTTGCCTCTCATGCACACACGACACAGCTTCGTGGTTCTGCTGCCTTCACAGGAATAGTTATGCAAATGCATAAGTGCTTAAATTACCACAGCCTTAATTTTGCAATCTTCTAGCTAGAGACCAAATTCTCTGGCATTTCTGCGTTATATCTGCCACATAAATAACAATCATGGTTCTTGGTATTATCTGCTCTGCCAGAAACACATGCTGGAAGACACCTTGGCCGACACTCGGAATTACTACGCTGCCGCGCTTCAAAACATGCAGCAGATCATCTCCAGGTGTGAGGAAGAGCTGAGCCAGGTTCGTCACGACATGAAGCAGCAAAACAACCAATACAAGGTTCTTCTTGGGATCAAAACCCGCCTGGAGAAGGAAATTTCCACGTACCGCCTGCTGCTGGAAGGGAATGCTGACGGGTAAGGCAGAGCTGCCCCGACTGGAACAGATGAGAGGAGAGTCCTCATATTCGGGTTATTTATTTGTTTGTTTGTTTATGCTTAATCAAAGCTTGTGAGTTCCATACTACATCAAGGGTTGGTATTTTAATGTGATGGATCATAATAAAAAGCCAGAGCCACTTAAAGTACAGAGACACTTGTATCCATGTAATTTGGATTGCCTAAATTAATATAACTTTTTATTAAAAAAAAATAAGTTCTCCACTCCCACAGCACGGCCATCTCAGCATAGGAAAGTGCTGCCCTCATCTTTGTTCTCTCGTCTGAAAAGGAAGAGTAGCAGCCTTTAGAACCCAAACTCTCGGGCAGGGAGGCCAGTGTGGCCCCCCAAGGGTGGTGGGATTTGTCCAAAGCCAAACTGGGATCAACCTGAGTGGCTCAGAATACACAAGAACCAATGCACCTTCCCCAGGAGCAATAGTGAATGTGCACAGGGACAGTTCCAGGTGAGAGCACCTACCAAAGGGAAAGCTCATGTGGTATAAAAGCATAATTTTTTTTTCCTTTTTTTTTTTAAATTTTCTCTCATAGTGGGATGAAGTCTCCTTAGAATCAGTGAGAAGAAAGGGATTAAAAACTTCTTGAAATTAGTCTAACCATTATTTTCTCTCTGTTATTTTTACAGGACAGCAAGAAAATCTGAAGCTAAAGGTAAATGTCTCTTACTTTGTTCTCTGTAGTGACTCTTAATTACTGTCATTTCCAATCAAATTTTCCTCAGAGTAATTTTAACCTCACCCAGCTGAGCTGTGGCAGGTGTGTGTGGCAGGGAAGGCTCGCACAGGCTGTATTTGAGAACCCTTTCAGTGGTTCCTGGGTGCTGTGAAGGGCTCCCTGCAGAGCCCGTCGGGCTGTGCCTGCTGCTCCCGGGCTGCCTCAGCCCCAGCACCGTCAGCCACACACGTGGCCACAGCTCGGACTCCAGACTAAAGCCTTCCTGGGATATGAGGAGGCACAGAGACTCATTGGGTGACTAAAGCAGCGTTAGGGCTTGAGAGCAAACCAAAAATCTGCATGTCTGGGAACTCGTATTCTGGCATGAGCATGACCTGCAGACATCCCACATAATCTGCTGGATTTGCATTGGCTGGGCTGTCGCTGTGTTATTCATTTGCCCTGACCTGGACCAGACCCAGGGTGACTTTCTGGCAGCACATTTCACACAGAGCAAGAACAAATATTGACTTAAAGGGAAACATGCAAAGATAACTCAGCTGAGAGGCAGGTAAAGGACTGCAAACGAAGCTCTCCCTGCCTGGCCCTGTCTCAGCGTTGCCCCTCAGCTGATGAAAGTCCCCTCTCTTCCAGAACACGCCGGGCTGAGCAAACGGAAGCTCAAAGCGATTGTGCACGACAGCGTGAACGGGGAGGTGGTGTCCTCCACCATCAACGAGATCCCCCCACAAGCCTGAAGGAAGGTCCTGCCAACCAGTGGCTCTCCTGGCAGCAGCTCCCACAGCCCCCCCGGGAACGGTGATGTGCTGTGAGCCAGCTCCCCGTGTGTGGGACAGGGACACTGCAGTGAACTCGCTCCTAACATGATCTGCAGCCTAACCCTGCAAAGTGCCACACGGAGCTGGGTATAGCTGATATTGGTAGTTTAAAGAGCTTTTAGTCACCCAGACGCTGAAGAGAAGCTGATCAGCGTCAGCAGCTGGCTGAGCTGGTGACAGATGTATCGTGCACATCTCCCCGGGGCAGGAATCTCCGTCTGGGATTCAGTTATCGCTCTGCAAGTTAACTATAATTTAAAAGGAATAATCTCTCAACTTTTTTCCTGGTCTTATGCCTCTCATCATATACCTCACTGCAGCCAATAAATTTTTATCCATTACTTGTTCTGGTCCTTGGAATTTCTGATTTTGCTTTCCCTTACACGTGTCCCAGCCCATTGTGGCAGTGCCACCGACATGGCTCAGGACTGCCAAAGCCCCATTGTTTCAGGAGGGACAAAACTGGAAGGACACAGGAAAGGAAAAAGGTGACACAAGTTAAAGACAGCATTTACATGAGCAAACTATTCAAATTCCCCATGTACAACTTTTCAATGTCACCACTGAAAACAGCATTATGAGTAGGAGTGTTGTAAAGTCACTTTACTAAAATAGCCACCTAGAAACATTTCTTTATTCTTCAGCTTGACAGAAATTTTCTTGCACTGTCTTTACACACTTTCCTTCAGAACCTGTAAGTACTTTTCCAGATACTCTCAACCTTTCTCAGTGATCCAGGTAATTCAAAAAACCATCTCAGTTATTTGGTCTGATATTAATGTTCACTGTATCTCTCAGATTAATGTTCACTGTCTCTGTTGTTGGTTTCTGCAGTCAGGGCAGAGTGGTGATTGCACTGGGTGCTAATGTCAGGGAGAGCCCATGGGCTTTAGTCACATCCAGGCTTCCTCCCCCTCCTCAGCTCAGACCCTGACAGAAATAATGCTGTGCAAAGCTAAAATATGGGCAAGGAAAAGAGAAACATCATTAGGATGTTTAGATGAGGAAGACTGCAAGGCAGAAGGAAGAGAGACAAAATGGAGCATAATGAGTGTGTTTAAGGATTTGCACTCCAAAGTCACCATCTGCGTGTCCAGGGCAGGCTCACAGTCGAGTGGCATTGTCATTGTGCCCTTTCATCCCCACTCATGAGGGATACTCACAAAGGGCTCCTGTTACCTGGCTTGCTTTGAAACAGGGCTCACAAAGGAAAGAGAAAATTTCAAAGAAAATGCAGATTAAACTGAACAAAGTCCATCTCTGTGATACAGCGCTCTGCTACCGGCATGTTCGGACCAGTTCCTGACCCCCCCTTTGCCCCCCGCCCCCCAACTCTCCACCCTTGTTGCACAAAGAGATCCCAAAAGCATTGGATGGATTACCTAATGGTTTCTTTAAACTGGGTAAAACTTGTAATACAGGATTAGTAACTCCTGGCTAATTAACAGTGTCCTTCCTTATGGCTTACCAGATCCAACGAGCCAGACCTGGTGTTTGTAGCATCTGGACAAAATGTGCCGAGGTTTTCTTGAACAATTTTCAGAGTTATTTAAAGATAGGTTCATTTACCAGATTTACAGAGGAGAACCACATTGCTGTGACACAGATAATTATAAAAACTTCTAAGTAGCCCCTTATTTCTACATCAAAGGAAAGTATCTGCTTTGTGCTGGGTTATTGTGCTGAACTACAAGGAAAGAAGAAGGGAAAACAAGCAATTGAAGTGCTGTGTGGAACACGCCTGTCCTTATTTCACACTGCTGAGCGATGCCCTGGCTTCACTCTGCCCTGTGCAGGCGTCCCCTGTGCAGAGGTGAGACGTGCTCCCCGTGCCCTGTGCTCTGGTCCCAGCGGTGCTGGATAAGAGGCAGCACAACTCCCATTCTCCTCTGCTAAGAGGCAGCACAATTCCCATTCCACTCCACCACTCTGATGATTTTAGCCTTCTCTTACCCCTCGTGCCGTTGAGCTCTGTACTGGTCAGACCAGTAGAGCCCAGTACAGCTCACAGCACCGACCTCCCAGCTCGCCCCGTTACTGACACCACCACGCACCCACGGCTCTCACAGCCTTTTAAGTCTCTTTCACTAAGTGGAGTAAACCAGCTAGTCCTTAAACATACAAATACTCGTTACACCACATGCTGTTTTCCAAAGGAAAGCAAATATTCTCTGGCAAAGGCTGCTGATTTCTGGAGAATCTTCCACGGCTCCAGAACACTCCGCACAGTCGCAGGTTTCCTCGGAGCTGGACAGCTCGTGTCACCAGCCACGTGTGCCCTGTACCTGCTGGTTACTCATTACCTCTGAATTTGTGCTCTGGTAGATAAGTTATGCATTTCTAAATGTATTTAGGGTGGGTCTGCACCTTAAATAATAAATAATGGTGCTAATATTTACCACTTGCATGCACTGTTAACATCATATTCTCACACCACACTGAGAGATGAAGCCAGGGAGATAATGAACGGGGGCAGTATTATCATTCCCATTTTATTGCTTGAGAAATTGGAAAAAGAGATGACACAACTTGCTCAAGGCTGCAAAGAAAGTCACTGATAGCCACTAAATTAGAATTCATCACTTCACAGCTTCTACTTAGCCCAGCTATTAGATAATACAACTTCCTGAAGAGCCATTCCCCACTCACAGCAATCCTGTCTGTGTCTGATTGCTCGGAAGAGATAATTCCATTGATTCATTCCAAGTGTTTACGGCCGGTCAGGACCCTGCACATCCTCTGATGATGTTCAATGTGCCTGTGTCAGCAGCCTGACTGAAATGAGCCCTGTACAGAACACTATGCTGGTGTCTTTGGTGGCTTTGTAGTATTTGGGAGGGTTTAAAGGAGGGCACAAGTGGTGCTTCTTGTAATCCCAGAGCAGCGGCTTGAAGAGAAGGAAATCTTTGGGAGCATGATGCTGCATGGCTTGAAAAATTACTTTATTAATTCACTGTATTGAAACTGATGGAACTCTGCCAGCTGGTATTTTGTCTCCTTCAGTATTCCATACACACACAAGTGCTGTTTCGACAAGAAGGAAATGACAGAGCCAGGACCAAAGGAAGTGCACTATGAAAAATTTGAAGCATCACACAAAATAACCCCCTCCAAGTGAATAGATTCTATTTCCCATAAATGGATAACAAAGAATTATGAGCAGGAAAGAGCAGCATTTCTCACTCTAAGTGAATGATGCAACAATACTTCTGCAAACCAACAAGACACAGGAACTCAGCCTATAAAAGGAGGCTGAAACCATCAGTGCTCGCAGCCGGCTCCTCGCAGTTTCACCTGCCATTTAAGGCAGTCCTGCACAGAATAATCCTCAGCGTGATTTCCAAGAGCCTTGACTGCTCTCCAGCCTGGGCATGAGTCACAGCTCATTTCACTTGTAGAAATGTTAAAACTTATTAAGGTGTATTACAATAGGCAGCTCTGGTAAGTGAAGTGTTGATCCCCTGGAAGAGGTGTGCGATGAGGTAATGCAGCCACAGTTTGTGCTGTTAATCACACATTCTTCTGGGGAGCTGGCCCCACACCGCCAGGGCTTGGCCTTATTTATCAACAGTCACTTCTGCAGAATGCAAGATTTTTGCTCTCTGTTCCTTGTTAATGCGGATGCAAAATTAACAAAGCCATTTATAGAGAGAAGAAAGGGAATCTCTCCTTCAGAGCACTGCTAAACCCGCTGGTTCCATGGATTATTGAAGCAGAGAGAATAGGTAGAAGAGCCGGTAAAACATTTCACAATGTCCACACCCTGACCTATAAAGGTTTCTAAAGTTTTGCTGGGAGATGCCTGTTCGTGTGTATGAATCATTTAGAAAAAGGAAGGATCTATAAACAGGGAAGCAAGAAAAGAATAATGCTGGAGAGGCTGCACCCCCTGTCCCCCCACGTCCTGCATTACACAGCAAAAGCATGTTAATTATTGACTCTGCCAGGACGTTTGGCTTTGAGAAATCACAGCTAATGGTTTGCTATGTGTGGCTTCCTCATCATTCCTCCCTCTGTAAAATTTTTGTTTCTTTTCAAGCTGCATTTTTACGATATCTTTAATTGTGTGACTACACTGAAACGACCTACTTGAGCCCCAGGCCTAGGGCTGCCATAAACCAAGTGTGTGCAAAAATATGGCACAAAACAGAAGCATCAATGTCTGACAGCTTGGAGTGTCCCTGTGGCAGGAGCTCCTGGGGTAGGACATGACCTAATGGTGAGGCAGGTGCAGGGCTGCTTCTCCTGGACACCTTAATTTGCCTTTTGAATGTCTGAATATGCATCAGAAGCTTAAAGGCATAAAATCATAACACCAGCTGTGGTAAAGACACTTTCAATAACTATCTAGACTTCAAGGGTAAATTTTTTGGCTTTCCAATATCCTAAGGACAAGTCCAAAGGAGTCAATGTGACGGGCTGTTATTAGGCTCTACAGAAAGCAACAAAAATGAGGAATATAATTTGAGAAAAATGTATTTCAATTAAGAGGAATAATTGGTTGGAGGTTGGAGCAGGCAGGGGAAAGGAGAAACAAACAGGCTGAAGTAGCTACAACCTACAGTTCCTCCTTAGAACAGAAGTCAGTGGTGTGCTGCCTCTGCACCCCCAAACCATCCATACGAGAAACAAAAACATCAAATACATCAAACAAACACACTGGGAGAGACTCTTGCCAGAGTAGTTTCCAAGCAGGAAATCCGTAACGTTGCTGCAAGCAGACAGGAATTGTGATTGTGAAGTTATCAGTGCAGGGAAAAAACCCACTTTTTCATGCCTTATTAGTGAGACAAATGACCAATTTTTGGAAGCTGTTTCAGCACCCAGGCTCTGCTTCCAGGTTAATCTCGCCAGTCTCAAACCAGTCACCAAGACATTCTGGGAATGGATCCACTGGAAATAACAGCACTACTGTGCATAACAAAAACCACAGAAACACAACCAAAGTAACCTTTTCTTTAGAGTTTATCACTGCCTAAAAACTGAGATTCTCAGATCTTCATAACGAAGGGTGTAATTTTAAGTGATAATGAACATCCTGCTCTCAAAGATTTAGCTGTCAAGATTTAGAAAGACAGCTCATACTTCCTGCCACTGCTTCCAAACCCACTCCTTACACAGCACTCGCATTACGGCTCATGGCTCCGAAGAGAAATATTCCTTTAAATGTTTGGCCACGAGTGCTGTAAAAACATTTCTTCTGGATCGAGGGAAGTGTGGATGGATCTACGAGCCATTTCGTTATGTAACCCGCGAGTTCCATCCCTCGCTCGGCTCCGCGCGGATTCTCCCGCGGTGCTCGGCGCGGGAGGGCTG